CTGTCTTTACAAAATACATACAGAGACTAGCATGAATACAAAAAAAAAAAATAGCCATAGCATTAGACTTCGACCGGAACCTCCTCGGGAGACGCAACAGTTGGCTGACAAAACAGAACAGAAGGCCGTCAACTCTAGCCCTGGTCATGTGCCGGCTCACCTACATACATAATAAAAGCTGTGAGCGAAAGCCCAGTGAATAATAACAGAGTAAAGGATTTAATGAATGATGTCTATCACAGAGTTAGAAATCAAATTCTTATCAGAAACAGATTCATATACATATTCATAATCATTTCCATATTCAGATTTTGCATATAATCATACGTAGCACATCCATTAGCGTTAACAAATCTAATGACCCATAAAGGGACAACCTTGAAGGCATTCTGATAACTCATGTGCACAGAGACGTTTCTGATGACCCATGAAGGGACTTGATGACCCATAAAGGGACGCATATCATATGAAGCTAAGGATGCCACGAATAACTTTCAGAATCTTGGACAATCATTCATTCATTCAAAACATAGCGTAGCATTTCAGAAAACTAATCATTTTATGTCATAATGTTCAGAAAATATTTAACATTGAACATAACTTTACAAAGTTATTACTCACAGATGATTGGTAGCCCTAACTAGATGCTAAGGCGGCCCTTCACTTGTTCTGAGGCGCGTGACCTACATGAATACACATACGAACACACACACTTGAAACACATGTTCGAATTGTACATAATTTATGTCGTTTGCTCTTAGTGTGTTTCTAACCCTTACCCTCATTATGGGGTCTTAAACATGGCCTAGGAATGCCTAGGATGGAATGAGGATGCAAAAATGCATTGGAAAACATTTCTCAAAATTTACTGAAAATAAGGTCCACGCTCAAGCGGGGCTTTCCCCGCTCGAGCGGACATGCAGGCAATGAAGCTCCGCTCGAACGTGGACTTCCCTACTCGAGCGGACTGTAAACTCATGAAAAAGTGCTAGATGCATGAACTTTACGCTCGACGGGCGCTCTACCCCCGCTCGAGCGTGTGACACTGACCCTCGCTCGAGCATGGCTTCCCCCACTCGAGTGAACTGCAAAACACAAACTTTTGGGTATATGCATTTCACGCTCGAGCGTTTCTCTCACCGCTCGAGTGGAAGTGCATGTACTCAGGCTTCACGCTCGAGCGTGAAAGTCCCCGCTCAAGCGTGGGTCAATTTTCTGAAAAATCCAGATTGACCTTCAAGCATGAAACTCAACCTTCAACCAATCAAAACTCATTTTTCTGCGCCAAAACTTTGAAAACCCTTGGTAACTCATAAAACAACATGTTTAAAGCTTCAATTTAAGAAATTATGGCCCAAGAATAAACCAATAATGCACAAACTCAACTTACTCTTTATAAAAGATCCAAAACATGACATGCACGAACATTTTTGAGCTAAAGCTCTCCAAAACATAACCAAACTTGATAATTGGATGGAAAACAAGATGAATGACCAAAATGTAGGTGAAGTTAGCACATGCATAGAAGAAACCTTTGAAAACATGCTCAATATGCAAGAAAATGTACATGCATGCATGGTATGGCCCATTTTTAGTACAATTCCCATATGAATTCACTTAGTTCACTAATGATCTTGTTGAATCTAACTCAATTACTCAAAGAAGAGTTTAGTTTCTTACCTAGAGGCTCCAATCTACGAAATTAAGGTTGAGGCTTTACAAATCTTCTTCAATTGTTAACAATCCTTAGCACCTCCTTGAATTTGAGCTAAATCTCTAAATCTTGGACCAATTCTTCTACTTTCACGTTTTTGGGTCTAAGAGGACTCAAGAGTGTAGGTAAAATGAAGAAGGAAGTGAGTGGGGGGGTGTTATTGTGCTCAAAAGGGCCACTAAGGCTCTAATTAGGCCGTTAAACAAAATGTGTTTAGCAAGGTTGATTAATGGCATTAATTTAATCAAATTTAATCGTTCCGAACCGAATTTTAATTAAAAACCTACCATAAAATTCTATAAATCCTAACTAGCACATATATCATGTCAATTTCGAAATCGGGCGCCGATAAGGCTTTCAATTCGCAATTCAAAACTAAAACATGAACATATATTTCTACGCCTAACAGATATAAACACAAAAATCATGCAATACTCATGCAAATTAGTTCCAAATCCTTCCTAAATTATTGTTGGGCTTAACTAAGCACAAATTAACGTTAATCTGGGGTCAGAGTTATTACAGTCTTCCCCCCTTAAAAGAGTTTGGTCCCCAAACTCGAATTACCTTCATTCTAGAAGAACATCGGGTTCAATGGAAACAGTTCTGGATATCTTTTCATCATGTCTTCCTCAGTTTCCCAAGTTGCATAGGTCTTTCCGTGGTTTTTTCAGTCAACTTTTACTAGTGGTATTTCTTTATTTCTCAGTCTTTTGATCCTCTGATTCACAATCTGGATAGGTCTTTCCACGTAGGTGTAATCATCTTTCAAAAGTACGTGTGTTGGCTCAATGACATGGAGTGGATCTTTCAAATACTCTCAAAGCATCGATACATGAAATACATTGTGCATATGCTCCATTACCGGTGGTAAAGCTACCCGATACGATACTGGATTGATCTTTTCAAGAATTTCGTAAGGTCTAACATACCTCGGCGCCAACTTGTCCTTAACACCAAACCGAGTTTGACCCTTCATCGGGGTCACCTTTATGAACACATGGTCCCCAACTTCATATTCTCTATCTCTTCTTCGGATATCAACATAGCTTTTCTACAGACTCTGTGCAGTTTTCAGGCGTTGCTGGATCAGTTTCACTTTCTCGGTTGTTTCTTGCACAAGTTCCGGTCCCAACAAAAGTCTATCACCTACTTCAGCCCAACATATCAGAGAACGACATTTTCTTCCATACAAAGCTTCGTAAGGAGCCATTCCAATGCTTGAATGGTAACTGTTGTTGTACACAAATTCAACTAATGGCAAGTAGGTCTCCCAATTCCCTTGGAAGTCTAACACACACATTCTGAGCATATCCTCCAGAGTTTGGTTCATTCGTTCAGTTTGGCCATCTGTCTGTAGGTGATAGGCACTGCTCAGTCTCAATTCAGTCCCCAAAGCCTGTTGCAAACTCTGCCAAAATCTTGATACAAACTTTGAGTCCTTGTCAGACACAATAGATACTGACACTCCATGCAATCTCACAATTTCAGTCATATAGATATTGGCCAATTTATCAGCGTTATAAATAGTTTTGACAGGCAGAAAATGGGCAGACTTAGTTAAACGGTCAACTATAACCCAGATAGAGTCCATACCTCGAGAAGAACGAGGCAATCCCACAATAAAGTCCATGGTAATGTGCTCCCATTTCTATTCCGATATTGGAAGTGGTTGTAGCAAGCCAGCAGGCCGTTGATGTTCAGCTTTAACCTGTTGACAATGTAGACATCTAGCCACAAAGTTTGCAATACTCTTTTTCATTCCAGGCCACCAAAAATTCTGTTTCAAATTATGGTACATTTTCGTGTTCCTCGGGTGCATGGCAAACTTACTGCTGTGTGCCTCGGTCATCACACGTTTTCTCAAATCACAACAATCGGGTACACAAAGACGGTTTTGGAATTTCAGTACATCAGTCTCAAACACAAATCCTGGCCTCGGCGTTGATTCAAACTCCTCTATAATCTTTTTCAGGTATTCATCTTCACACTATTTCTGTTTGATCTCATCAAGAATTGTAGGTTGAGCGGAAATAGCAGCTACCAGCCCAACTTGTTCTAGGTCATTCAGTAATTCTTTCCGATTGGATAACAGACATGACAAATTTTCCATTGATTTTTGGCTCAGGGCATCCGCTACAGTATTAGCCTTTCCTAGATGATACAAGATTTGCAAATCATAATCTTTGATTAGTTCTAACCATCGTCTCTGTCTCATGTTCAATTCCTTTTAGGTGAATAAGTATTTCAAGCTCTTATGGTCGGTGTACACCTCACAAGTTACCCCATACAAGTAGTGACGCCAGATTTTCAAAGCAAACACCACAGCTGCTAACTCAAGATCATGCGCTGGGTAATTCTTTTCACGAGGTCGAAGTTGTCTAGAAGCATAAGCAATCACTTTTCCGTTTTGCATTAATACACACCCCAAACCTTTGTAGGAAGCATCACTGTACACTTGAAACCCATCAGTACCATTAGGCAAAGTTAAGATTGGTGCAGTCACTAACCTGGTTTTCAGTTCTTGAAAAGCTGCCTCTCTTTGTTCGTTCCAGTCAAATGGCATATTTTTCTGAGTTAACGGAGTTAATGGCATGGCAAGCTTGGAAAAGTCTTTCACAAACCTCTGGTAGTAACCTGCAAGTCCCAGAAAACTTCAGACTTTCATCACATTTGTCGGTCTAGGCCAATCTACAATAGCTTCAATTTTCTGAGGGTCAACAGAAACACCCTCCTTGTTGATTACATGTCCCAAAAATGCCACACTGTCAAGCTAGAATTCACACTTGGACAATTTAGCATACAATTTCTTTTCTCTCAAAATCTGCAAGGTGGTTCTCAGATGGTTCTCATGTTCTTCTCTGTCTTTAGAATAAATCAGAATGTCATCGATAAACACAACAATGAATTCATCAAGATATTGTTTGAAAACCCTATTCATTAGGTCCATAAAAGCTGCAGGTGCGTTTGTTACTCCAAAAGGCATTACCAAGAATTCATAATGTCCATATCTAGTTCTGAATGCAGTTTTCTCTACGTCTTCTGCCTTAACCTTGAGCTGATGATAACCGGACCTAAGATCAATTTTAGAGAACACTTTAGCTCCTTGGAGTTGATCAAACAAATCATTTATTCGGGGTAATGGATATTTGTTCTTAATGGTCACTTTGTTCAATTCCTGGTAATCGATACATAATCTCAAGGACCCGTCTTTCTTTTTGACAAATAATATTGGAGCACCCCAAGGTGAGGTACTCGGACAAATGAATTTCTTGTCTAAGAGTTCCTATAGTTGAGCTTTCAATTCTTTCAGTTCAGAAGTTGACATCCTATATGGAGTCTTGGAGATGGGCTGTGTTCCAGGTGTTACATCAATGGTGAATTCTATTTCCCTATCAATTAAGTCCCCAGGTAGGTCATTTGGGAACACATCGGGAAATTCACATGCAACCGGGATAGTTTCTACCGTAGTTCCGTCAGATGGTGCAGTAAGTACACAACACAAGTAACCCCTGCATCCCTTCCTAAGCAGTTTTTTAGCTTTCAAAGCTGAAATCAGATATGGGGGAGGAACTACCCCATTCCCAGTAAAAGTAAATTCAGGTATACCCGGTGGTCTAAACACAACAGATTTACTTGCACAGTCAATGGTAGCACAGTATTTAGTCAACTAGTCCATTTCCAAAATACAATCAAAATGGTCAATGTTCAAGGGTAATAAGTCAACATATAACATCATATCGCCAATCATAATATCACATGCTGGATAAACATGAGTGCACATCATAGAATCCCCAGACGGTGTGGATACATATAACACATATGTCATAAGTTCTAAGGGTCTAGTCAATTTTCGAGAGAAAGCATGCGATACAAAGGAATATGTAGAACCAGAATCTATCAATACGCATGCATCTTGAGAACAAACAGAGAGTGTACCTGATACCACGATATAGGTGTTTGGTACGTCACCAGGCGCTAAGGCGAACACTCGACCCTGTCTTAGAGGCTCTTTCCCAGTATTGGCCCTCGTATTCGTCTTGGATGCAGAAGCGGATCCGGCTGAGCTTGCCGCTGGTTGGTTGGTATTTTCGAATCTGATAGGACAATCCTTCATCATATGACCAGTCTTTCCACATCTAAAATAGGCACCCAAAGCTCGATAACAATTCCCCTTGTGTTTCTTACCACATTCCGAGCAAGTTGGTATAGTACCACTACTTTGGCTTGAGCTACTGTAAGATCCTGTGTTTCGCCTCTTATTCCCAGAAAATGAATGACCCTTTTTTAAACTGTTTCCATATCTTTTCCCCGTCCAATCAGTTCGTGGGACAAGAGTTTGTTTCCTCGTTGTTAGAATGGATTCTGTCATTAATGCCCTATCCAAAACGTTCACGTACGTGGGTAGGTTCAGGACTCCCACCCTATCCAGTATGTCCAGGTCCAATCCACCCTCAAACTTGCGGGCCTTCTTGTAGTCTGTGTCCACCATGTGAGGAGCAAACCTGGCCAACTCAGTAAACTTAGCCTCATACTCGGTTACAGACATTCTGCCTTGTTTGAGTTCCTGGAATTCTGAAACCTTCCGGTCTCGGAAGCACTGGGGAAAGTACTTGTCATAGAAAATTGTATTAAATTGAGTCCATGTCATATTTTTGTGGCCATTTCGAATCAATAACCACCACCTCCGGGCATCATCCTTCAGAGTATAGGTGGCTAGGAGGACTTTCTGGACTTCGGAACAAGGGAACACCTCATATAGTTTCTCCATTTCAAGTAACCACGTCTCTGCTTTCAACGGTTCAATTCCACCATAGAATGTCGACGGTTTCATTTTCATAAACTTCTGTGTCAAGTTGATGACGTCATTGGTGCCCATTTCAACTTGAGCCGGCAGGGGTGGAGGTCGTAAAGGTTGTTGCCTCTGTTGTTGCATTACCACTTCGGTTAAGGTTGTAAGCATTTGTTCCATTCTATTCATTCGGGCATCAGAGGACCCTGCTGTGTCATCATTCCTTGCATTGTCCATTTGCTATAGGTAAACAAAACTTTATGTATTCAAATTCACATGTTTATACTTGAACTTATGCTTTCACTTTCGAACAATACACATAAACATGCAGATGAAATGCCCCTACTTCTTACTAGGACTTCCTAAGCTCATATGGACCTGTGTGTGCGGTAGAAGAAGTACTCTGATACCACTCTGTCACGACCCAAACCCGTCCCTATAGGTTTAGCACCGTAACCGGCCAGTAATCCGTGGATTACCAAAGGCCTCTGAACAGATTAGCAAATAATAAGGGACTGCGGAAGTAATAATACAAAATAGACAAGGTCCAATGAGCTATGATAACGTACATGGGACAGAACATTTCGAACTTATATATATACATAAGCATGCCAGTCAAAGGACACCAATATTTACAAAGTATTTACATCCCAAGACCTGTCTTTACAAAACACATACAAAAAAAAAAAAAAAAAAAAAAACAGCCATAGCATTAGACTTCGACCGGAACCTCCTTGGGAGACGCAACAGTTGGCTGACAAAACAGAATAGAAGGCCGTCAACTCTAGCCCTGGTCATGTGCCGGCTCACCTACATACATAATATAAGCTGTGAGCGAAAGCCTAGTGAATAATAACAGAGTAAAGGATTTAATGAATGATGTCTATCACAGAATTAGAAATCAAATTCTTATCAGAAACAGATTCATATACATATTCATAATCATTTCCATATTCAGATTTTGCATATAATCATACGTGGCACATCCATTAGCGTTAACAAATCTGATGACCCATAAAGGGACAACCTTGAAGGCATTCTAATGACTCATATGCATAGAGACGTTTCTGATGACCCATGAAGGGACCTGATGACCCATAAAGGGACGCATATCATATGACGCTAAGGATGCCACGAATAACTTTTAGAATCTTGAACAATCATTCATTCATTCAAAACATAGCGTAGCATTTCAGAAAACTAATCATTTTATGTCATAATGTTCAGAAAATATTTAACATTGAACATAATTTTACAAAGTTATTACTCATAGATGATTGGTAGCCCTAACTAGATGCTAAGGCGGCCTTCACTTGTTCTGAGGCGCGTGACCTACATGAACACACATACAAACACACACACTTGAAACACACGTTCGAATTGTACATAATTTATGTCGTTTGCTCTTAGTGTGTTTCTAACCCTTACCCTCATTATGGGGTCTTAAACACGGCCTAGGAATGCCTAGGATGGAATGAAGATGCAAAAATGTATTGGAAAACATTTCTCAAAATTTACTGAAAATAAGATCCACGCTCGAACGTGGCTTTCCCCGCTCAAGCGGACATGCAGGCAATGAAGCTCCGCTCGAGCGTGGACTTCCCCACTCGAGCAGATTGTAAACTCATGAAAAAGTGTTGGATGCATGAAATTCACGCTCGATGGGCGCTCTACCCTTGCTCGAGCGCGTGACACAAATCCTTGCTCGAGGGTGGCTTCCCCCGCTCGAGCGGACTGCAAAACACACAAACTTCTGGGTATACGCATTTCACGCTCGAGCGTGACTCTCACTGCTCGAGCGAAAGTACATGTACTCAGGCTTCACGCTCGAGCGTGAAAGTCCCCGCTCGAGCGTGGGTCAATTTTCTGGAAAATCCAGATTGACCTTCAAGCATGAAACTCAACCTTCAACCAACCAAAACTCATTTTTCTGGGCCAAAACTTCGAAAAACCCTTGGTAACTCATAAAACAACATGTTTAAAGCTTCAATTCAAGAAATTATGGCCCAAGAATAAACCAATTATGCGCAAACTCAACTTACTATTTATAAAAGATCCAAAACATGACATGTACGAACATTTTTGAGCTAAAGCTCTCCAAAACATAACCAAACTTGATAATTTGATGGAAAGCAAGATGAATGACCAAAATGTAGGTGAATTTAGCACATGCATGGAAGAAACTTTTGAAATCATGCTCAATTTGTAAGAAAATGTACATGCATGCATGGTATGACCCATTTATAGTACAATTCCCATATGAATTCACTTAGTTCACTAACGATCTTGTTGAATCTAACTCAATTACTCAAAGGAGAGTTTAGTTTCTTACCTAGAGGCTCTAATCTATAAAATTAAGGTTGAGACTCTACAAATCTTCTTCAATTGTTAACAATCCTTAGCACCTCCTTGAATTTGAGCTAAATCTCTAAATCTTGGACCAATTCTTCCACTCTCACGTTTTTGGGTCTAAGAGGACTCGTGAGTGTAGGTAAAATGAAGAAGTGAGTGAGTGAGTGGTGGGGGGCGTTATTGTGCTCAAAAGGGCCACTAAGGTTCTAATTAGGCCATTAAACAAAATGTACTTAGCAAGGTTGATTAGTGGCATTAATTTAATAAATTTAATCATTCCGAACCGAATTTTAATTAAACTAACCATAAAATTCTATAAATCCTAACTAGCACAGATATCAAGTCAATTTCGAAATCGGGCACCGACAAGGCTTTCAATTCGCAATTTAAAACTAAAACATGAATAGATATTTCTATGCCTAACAGATATAAACACAAAAATCATGCAATACTCATGCAAATTAGTTCCAAAACCTTCCTAAATTATTGTTAGGCTTAACTAAGCACGAATTAACGTTAATCTGGGGTCGGGGTTATTACAATTTCTCAATAACCCATTTGAAAACCCCTATTTTTCAATTCAAAATTAAACCCTAGGTTTAACCCAAAAATTTCCAAATCACTAGACCTTTTCAATATACAAATAATTAAGGTAAAAATGACACCAAAAGTTGAAGAAATCCCTACCTCAAAATAAAAGACAAGCGAGAACTAGAGTTGAAGTTTGGTGGAGCCGAAAATGATAACTCCTCTGATTAAAACAAAGCCCTCGACGTGCTCTACCTTTTTCTCCAAAGGGCTAGGGTGTAGAAATTAATAAGTTGGGAGTATTTGGAGTTAGAATGCAAGAACTAGAGAGAGAGAGAGAGTAAGTGAAGAACTAGGGCTTGGAATGTTTTTAATGAGAAAGAGATGAAGTGAAAAGTGACTCAAAATAATTGATATACATGCAGATCGATCGAGCGACCAAAACATTGTTCAAGCGTTAGACATAATAAGTGACACAGCTCAAGCGACCAAAAACAAAGCTCGAGCGTCAGAGATAATAAGTGACACCACACAATCGACCAAAAACACCGCTCGAGCATATAATGACCCCCTCTTAGAAGTTCAGATCTACAAAAGACCGCTCCAGCGCAAGAAAAATTGCTCAAGCGAAGATACCACACTTCTAGTAGTTTTGTAAACTGTAAAAGATCACTCGAACGCAAGAAAAAACCCTTGAGCGAATAGGCAAAAATCTGGGGCAACAACTCTTTTGAAAAACTTATTCTCAACCTATTTCAAACATAACCATAACTCCCAAATAATCAAACTCAACTAGCAATGAAAATGAAATAAACAATAGTTAAGGACATAAATTTCCAAAATAAAAAATAAAGTCTAAATCAAAATCGTCATAATTGAAGAGTTTAATTTTGAGTTTTTAGTCAATTTTTTATAATAATGACACTTTAGTAAGTAACTCAAAATACTCTAAAGTCAATGATGAAACTTCATAATCTAATCCTAACCACAAAAGTCAAAAGAAGTGTTCAATTCAATCCTCATCCATCATGACCATGAATGTAACATTGCATGAACCACTAATTTGATTTTCATTGATCAATTTAATAGGATCAAATACTTTTTTATCTAATTTATATAAAGGGTTTTTGTTAAGGATGCATTAAAATCATCTCAATTACCTCCATTATTATAGAAGATAGGAAAAGTTATTAATGTGTTTTGTAGAGACTAAAAATGCCATTTTCTCCAATTCTCTCTATTGGTATTTCAACATTATATACTTTTCAAATGTAGTTTATTTATTTTTTTATATATTTTTTAATCATAAAACTAAATACATTTTATTTTTAAATGAAATTTCATTTTTTTTAAATTTTAAATGTCCTCTATTTTCAATCATAATTAAATTATATGAATCTAAAAATTAAAAGAATGAATAAAAGTGAATTTAAAAATAAAAAAAGGAAAATGAATCTTAAAAAAATAAAGGGCATACAATTTTTTTTATATTTGTTACAAAAATAAAGGGCATTTAAAAATTTAAAAAAAAAATTGAAATTTCATTTAAAAATAAATGCATTTATTTTTACGATAAAAAAATATTTAAAAATTAAATAAACTACATTTGAAAAGTATATAATGTTGAAATGCAGAGAATTGGAGAAAAGAGTATTTTAGTCTCTAAAAAGACACATTTATCGTTTTCCTAATAGAAGTGGTTGAGATGATTTAATGCATCCTTAATAAGGCACTTGTTAACAAAACCCCTATATAAAATTAGATAAGAAGTGTCATGTATTAAATAATGTGAAATATTATTTTAAATGATGTGAAATACATGATATGATGATGTTCATTAATCAATTCAGCCTACGTTTGGGAAGTGGGTTGACTTTTTGGCTTTTTTGACTATATGAGCCTAGGCTCAAAAGCTTAGTTTGGGAAGGGCTTTTGGCTTTTTGGCTTTTTTGATTTTTTGTGAGAGAAGAGTGTGATGATTATGGGGTTGGATGGGATGTTTTGTCTGTTGTGGCTCATGAGTCTATTCTGTCTTTTATGGCTCATTGAGCCAAAAAAGCCCAATGAGCCCTTGCCAAACCAACCCTCAAACAAATTAC